TCCCTCACGACAGTCGCCTTCATCGGAGTCTCATCATGCCTCACCGAATCAACGTATAGCAATAAAGATTGGCGGGGTAAGCTTGATGTTATAGTATTTTCCAGCTTCAGCCTGTTGAGCCTACAATTCAAGAAAACACCGTGGGCGACTTTCTGCGCGGTGGCGGATAACGCTGCAGGGTCGACGCCCGTCTCAGACGCCATCGTAACAGCAGACATTTGCTTCCGAGGGCCCTGCAGAAAGCAATGGCCAACAGACAAGGTAGCTTCGTCCAAGGCGTACGGCAGCCCAGACAATGCAGCAATCATCGCAGCTTCCATCGGGCCGCTGAGCTGCAACGGAAATGGGATTCCACGGCTTTGCTGAACGCTCAGAGCGCCCTTCGGGACGCGGAAGCAATCGGCAACAGCCCGCGCATCAGCATTAAATCGCCGCTGTCGTTCTCGCCACGAATCCAAACCCGACTGCTGCAAGGGCCAAATATCAACGACAGCTGGGCGGTTTCGCCTGTATTCATCAACTACTTCCTGCAGTGCCTGGTTTTTCCTGCCTCTTTTTTTTGGCTGCCCAGCTGTGGAAGACAAATCGATAATCGCACGGGGAGGGCGAGCAGGTCCAACATCTTGCTGGGCGGGGCCAAAAGGCACGTGGACTAGAAAATCGCCCCACGACGAGCCGCTCACCTCACGAGGTGCCTGGTCATAGTTTGCAGCTGCACCCTCGGCGAGAGGAGGGTGATCCCCGCCAACAATGATATCCACATCACGCACATCGGGGCGATCGGGCGCAGCGCACGCCAAGAACGCCCCCCATCCTGACATCGAGGCTACATTGTCAACTGGACCCGCGGCGTGGCGGGAGATGCCTCAAGGACGGCACGACAGGTTTGAGCCCAAACGTTTACGCGGGTGGCGGGGGAATGGAACGGGGAGAGGGGTGGTGAGAGCGACGAGAATGAACCTGCACTTTGGCAGAGGATTCGACAACGCTGGACACGATGTGGCCGAAATCCAACAAACCCTCTTGACGTCTGCGGTCTAGCGGCGCCGTTCTCTCCGCCCAATCAGCATGCACCCCGTTGTTTTTATGTTGGGGGGCGGGGGGGGGCTCCCCCATCCCCCTTCCAAAGGGCATGCTCGCCCCCCCACCCGCCCCCCCGAGGGCGGCCAAGGCGTCCAAGACGGACAAAGATTGTTCCAAAAGGCCCCGATGTCCGAATACTGCCTCGTACGTAGCACCTGCGGGTAAGAGTGAGGGGGCAAAAGCGCGGGCGAAGCTACCAACACATGACCCACCCACCATAAACCCACAACCAACCCAACACCCACGACCCACGCCCACCACCCACCACCCACCCACCACCCACACACCACCCACCCACCACCCACCCACCACCCACCCACCACCCGCCCACCACCCACCATTCACCCGCCCACCACCCACACACCACCCACCCACCACCCACCCACCCACCACCCACCACCCACCCACCACCCACCGACCACCCCTCCACCATCCACCCATCACCAACCATCCACCACCCACCCACCACCCACCCACCATCCACCCACCACCCACCCACCACCCGCCCACCACCCACTCACACCCACCCACCACCCACCCACCACCCAACCAACACTCACCAACCACCACCGCCCACCAACCACTCACCACCCACCACCCACCCACAACCCACCACGACCCACCCACCACCCACCAGCCACCCGCCACCCAACCCATCCACGCACCATCCACCACCACCACCCACCACCACCCACCACCCACCCACCACCCACACACCACCCACCCACATCCCACCCACCACCCCACCACCACCACCCACCCACCACCCACCCACCACCCACCATCCACCCACCCGCCACCCACACACCAGGCACCCACCCACCATCCACCCACCACTCAACCACCACCCACCCACCACGCACCCACCACCCGCCCACAGGGTGGGTCGCGGGTGGGTCGCGACTGGGAACGCGGGTGGGACGAAGAAAACAAGCAACAACAACAACAACAACAACAACAATCCGCATCGTGGAACCTCACATCAACCACGCGCCCAAGGACATTGAATGACCGTTCGGCCCCCTCACTCTGATATCAATCCACATGTAATGACCAATTGCAAGAAGACGTCTGCCGTGCCTTCGGTGAGAAGAGGGGAAGTATGTTTCAATGCGGCCCTGAGGGCTAGTGGAACCCGCGCTCGAGAACCCGAACGAGACCACCGCCACACACATATTAGAAACTTTGAAAACATGAAAATGTGCATGGCGTAAATTGAAATAAATGAAGCAAGTGTAACTTGTCAGCGAGCGATGCACGAAGCGGCCCATGCGAGCCACAAAATATCCCCAGTGACGCCCGGTGGCGCCCAAAAAACGCCACAGGGACGCCTCGCCGAAACGACTTTGAAGCCCAGCAGGGAGGGCGCAGATAAGACCGCCATGTCTGGATTGATGCACTCCAACAAAAGCCAAAAGAAACCCTCCATATTTCCAAGGCGGGCCCAGACGGAATTCCACGATAGCCCAAATAAATCAAACATACAAAAGACAAGTAAGAGAAAAGACCTCAAATGTCAACCAACCGATCGCCCAGAAGAGCCCGCAACGCCCCGAGAGGGCTCCGCGACAGCCAAAATAGAACGCCAGAACGGGCACAAGGGTCGCCCAGAAAGCTCTCGCCACAAACGATCCGTGAAGGCCTCCTCCTTGTCCTCCTGCGACCTCTCCCATACTCAATTCCTCCCCTCCTGTCCCTTTCTGATGTGTGCCCCTCGTCTTCCTCCTCTCCACCCCCCCCACCCACCCCAACCCCATTTTCTTGTTTTGAGGGTTCTGAAAAACACCTGGATAAGATCCCGAAGCCCCCTGAGCCAAATTACTTGCGATCCATCGCGCGGCCCGCCAGGGGCGCGCGCATTGCGCGCAGCCCCGCTGGCGATGCCGCAACCTAACACCTAAACCTAAATATCGAACCAAGGGCGCGCGCTAAACCTAAACCTAAAACATAACCTGAAACCTAAAACCTAAACCCAAAGTTTGAACCTAAACTCAAGCATTATCCTAAACCTAAACCCAGAGCGCAGGCTAGACACGAAGCTGATTCCCATTTCATTGAAGCTGGATCCCATACGGCTCGCCACCAGATTAGGACGCGGCCAAATTTGCCGACCTATATGTTCCCTCCCCGCCAATTCCCGAATCACTTGAAACCTATTTTTTTGACTGCTGTGGAGTTACTTTGCGGAGTCGCCGAAAAGTTACTTTAAAGTTACTTTAAAGTTACTTTAATTGGTTTTCCACAGTTTCCAATATTAGCATGGGTGCCGAAAACCTAACCCTTCCGAGCGGCCCCGGGGGCCCTGCACCCCCATGCGCCCCCGAGGTCCTTGGGCTCGGCCGGGGGACCTCGTCCCTCGGGATATATATATATATATGTATAAATATACACATGAATAAACAAATAAATAAGTAAATATATATATATATATATGTATATATACCGCTTTTCGCGGCCAGGGGAGCGACTCGGGTCACCCAGCAGAAGATGAGGAAGGAAAACGGAGTGGAGGGTTCAACCTTTTTCACGACCGTCTCGGCCATTCCCCCTTGACCGCTTTTCGCAGCCGGGGGAACGACTCGGGTTCACCCAGCAGAAGATGAGGAAGGAAGAAGGAAAGGAAGGTTCAACCTTTCACGCCCGGCCCGGTCACTCCCCCTTGACCGCTTTTCGCGGCAGGGGGAGCGACTCGGGTCACCCTGGAGAAGATGATCTGAGGAAGGAAGAGGGATTGTAGGGTTCAACCTTTCACGCCCGGCCCAGTCACTCCCCCTTGACCGCTTTTCGCGGCCGGGGGAGCGACTCGGGTCACCCTGGAGAAGATGAGGAAGGAAGAAGGAGTGGAGGGTTGAACCGTTGAACCTTTCACGCCCGCCCCGGTCACTCCCCCTTGACCGCTTTTCGCGGCCAGTGGAACGACTTGGGTCACCCTGGAGAAAATGAGGAAGAAAGAGGGAGTGGAAAGTTCAACCTCTCACCCTCATCCCGGTCACTCCCCCTTGACCGCTATTCGCGGCCGGGGGAGCAACTCGGGTCACCTTGGAGAAGATGAGGAAGGACGAGGGATCGAGGACGCCGGCGGCGCATCACCAGCCGCTCCCTGGGAGTTTGTCGAAGTGGCGCGCAGCATCGAAAGTCCTGACGCCGCGCGCATGCCAGCTATCAAATAGCCTTATCCCACCTCTTCGGAAGGGTCTCGGGGGCCCCTGCAGGGGCAGTTCAGGGGCCTCTTGGGGGCCTCTTGGATGGCTTCTTCAGGACCTCTTGGGGCCCTTTTGGGGGCTCTTAGGGGCCTCCGGGGGCCTCTCGGGAGCCTCCTGGGGGCCTCTTGGGGGCCTCCTGGGAGCCTCTTGGAACCAAAAGCTCGCAATGTCCGTTCAGGTTCCTCCTCTGGGCCCACTCTTGGGGCCGTCCTGGGGCCCTCTTGGGCCGTCCCTGGGGCCTCTTAGGCCGTCTTGGTGCCCTCTTGGGCCGTCTTGGAACCCTCCTGGGGGTCTCTCGGGCCGTCTTGGGGCGGTCTTGGGGGGCTCTTGGGCCATCTTGGAATGTTGGGACGCCCAAATATCGAGAACGGCCAAATCCTTCAAAAACCATCAACAAATCAATGAATGTTGTTTCTTCGGGCTCTCTTGGGGGTGCTCTTGGAAGCCTCTTGGGGCGTCTTGGAAGCGTCTTGGGCCGTCTTGGGGGCCTCTTGTGCCGTCTTCGAGCGCTATTGGGGCCCTCTGAGTGCGTCTTGGAGAGCTCTTTGGCCATCTGTAGGCAATCTTGGGCGGGTCAAGGCTGCTCGGGGCCTCGGGGCGGCTCCCGGGGGGGCTCCTGGGAGGGGGGCACTACCTATGTACAAGGGGGGGGCCCTGCGGGGCCCCGGGGACGGAACCCCCCATATATGTGTATAGGCGTTTCGATATTGGGAGGACCGGGGGGGGTTCGGGAGGGGTCTGTCTCCGGACCTCTGCTGAATGCCACTGTTTGCAGCAGTGCGCCCCAGGAGAGGCCCCACCCGGGGGGCGGGGCGCGAGGGCCCGCGCCGATCGGCTGAAGAAATCATAGGAAACGACAACCACAGCCGACAGCGCCAGGTGGTATCTCGTATTCGGTGCAGTCGGAGGAGCTCATACATCGGTATGGGGACCATGTGTGCGCGATCCACCGAACCCTCCGCGAAGTCAGCGGATAGGCAGTGTCCTCGTCAGGCCTCGAGCACTGGCACCGACGGATCTAAGAGATATCCTCCACCTGCTCCCCGGCGGGGAATAGGAGGAGGAGCAGGAAGAGGAGAGAAGAGGAGAGAAGGGGAAGAGGAGAGGAAGCGATTCAGCGATTCGCATGCTGCCTAAATTAGCCGCGGCCGTCAGGGCGCGAGATCACTCGACGCACGCAAGGCGCGCGCCTGACGGCACTCCTTCGACGCCAAAGCGCCCCGCGCCCTTCTCGGCGCTCCTCGGCGAGAGAGGCGAGGGCCTCAGGCGTCCGCCTTTTTTGCAGCAGAACTCTGCTGCATTCTTCAGAGAGCTCCTTCTTCGGCTGCGGCGGCCACAGACTGTACGCGGTGCAGGCCGCCATGTTCCCCGCCGCGCCCGCGCACATCAAGTACTTCAAGCGGCCGGCCTGCAGCGACTCCATGCCCATGAGCAGGGCCAGGGCGATGGCCGCCACCTTTTGAAGTTTGCGGCAAACGACACGAAGAACGGGGAGAGGTCCCTGACAATGTTGTACAGCAGGAGGTTGTAGCCGAGGGCCCAGATGCCGGACATCATCACCTGCACCACGGTGCCGAGGCTCAGCTGGGCGATCTCCACGAACACGCTGAAATTCGTGGCCATCTCGTGCCCAGGATAAGACACGGGGTGCTTGATCAAGTAGATGGGCAACAACAGCAGCACGACGATTGGAATGGTCATGTAAATGAGCGAGTCGATAGCGTTCAACTTGACCCCTTGCCAAGAATCACCACTACCATGAGCTCCAGGGAGACCCAGCGTGTTGCTGCCGCCGCCCTCGTTCTGGTCCGCCGTCTTCTTCTGGGTGCTCTTGGAAATAACCACCAGCGCCGCGCCGATGACGCCGAGTAGCACCATGCCTACCTTCGCAAGAAAGCACAGCTGCAGGAGAAGAGACATCGGCGGGCTCGTGGAGCGGACCATAACGTTAACGGACATGTCCAGGAGCGAGAGGCTGAAGTTGTTGAGGGCGATGTTCAGGGTGAAGCACACTGCGAGGGCCATCACCGCGAGGGCCTGGTCCTTACTGACGATGCTGTGCGGCCTGTAGGCCCACGGCGTCAGCTGGGACACGAGGATCACCAGCGCGAGGAAGAGGAAGCCCGCGAGCTGCTGCATGGCCGTCAGCACTAGGAGCGCATGGAAGCGCCGTATGTTGAGCTCCTGGCAGACCGTGTGGATGGACATGATCGCCTTGATGTACAACAAGTTCATGAAGTTCTGGGCCCCGAAGAAAAGGAGCAACTGCGCCAGGGTCTGGTACCTGGGCAAGATGACGAAGACGCCGCCGCTAAGCACCAGCGCCAACCATGCCACCCCGACCTGCGTGCACAGATCCGCGGTTTCTATGCGGGCCGGCTCCTCGATCGCGGTGGTGCCAATAAGCATTCCTCCGCTCTCCAGCACCTCGACGCTCACGTGCACCTTCGGACCATCGCCCACTATGAAACCATGAGGCGCCTGTTCTCTGGGCCTCCGGAGATGCCCGCCCTTCCCCTTTATGTCCATGACGGCAGAGCTGCCTGTCACGGCGAGCAGCAAGCAGCAACGCGCGGCCGACATGGCTACTAAAACTCCGACTTTGGGCGCTCTTACAGCCTATTGGGCCGTCTTGGGGCGATCCTCGGAGCCTTGAGCCAAAATGGCTACGGATCCGGTTCAGTCATCTTGGCAACGACTTACCGAATGCAATGTGCTGGGACCCAACCAAAATTTGATCTGCATGGTTACGCATTTTTTACGCATACGTACACTTCCCACGAATGTTATGTTACCCTGCCCGAGGCACGAAGTGGAGTGTCCTCAGGTCCCTTCCAGCTCTCAATACCGAATACTGCACATGGTCATTGCCACGGGGCGCCTGTCCCAGACTCCTGGTTTGGGGGGCGCTCTTGGGCGCTTCCAGGGTGCTTGGGGAAACGTTTCTAGAGGCCTCGGGAGCGTGGTTCGGAACCAATGTTTCCAACACGCCCAGAGATGGTTCGCGGTGACCGTCACGGGGCTCTTGTCGGGGGCCTCTTGGGCAGTCTTGGAGGCCTTGGCGGTAGGCCCAAGGAGGGGAGATTTTGAGAGAACGTTCGCATTCTCATCCTGTCTTCTAGACTCAGACCGTCCTAGGCTGCCCAAGAGGCGCCCATTACGCGCTTAAGAGAGCACGCGAGGCGTCCGAAGGGGGGCTCTAGCGGCCCGCAAGATGCCCCCAAGAGAGGTTTAAGGTCAAGAAAGAGACATCGAGCTGCAATTTCGAGCCAACAGGCAGACCGTTCGGGCCTCGACAGGAGGGGAGGAGGAGGAGGAGGAGGAGGAGGAGGAGGAGGAGGAGAAGGAGGAGGAGGAGGAGGAGGACCAGTGCAAACCCAAGACTCATCAACGATGCTGGGATACACCCTCCCTCCAAGCTCCCTCTCAATAGGCTCCATACAAAAATTCACGTCCACTACTAAGGGACATGTCCCGTTGGGAGACAACCGTACGAAAATCTTGCAGCACGTCAATCATTCTTAAGACTTCAACGCCATCAATCAACCTGACTGCTGCGTCTTGACGATCCTGCATATTGCCAGAACGCCATTCCTGGGACTTCAACACCGCGAACCGACATAACTGCTGCGCCCTGACAATCCCGAATCGCTCGAAAACACAGGTTCTGGAAACTTGTTATCTCAAAACGTGCGCGGCGCTAAGGCGAGAACCACATTTTGAAAACGGCCCGCCCTCGTTCCGTGAAGCCCTTGCACATTGTTAGAATGAATGCGCGCGGCTCTAATTCGAAATCCACATTTTGTAAACGAACCACCCTGAATACATGGAAATGTTTCCAAATGTTTCAAACGAATGTGCGCAACGCCAAGGCGAGAACCACAAGTGAACACGACCCGCCCTCAATCCGTGAAACTCTTGCAAACTTTGAAAACGAATATGTGCGGCGCTGAGGCGAGAACCACATTTTGAAAACGGCCCGCCCTCCATCCGTGAAAATCCTGCAAATTGTTAAACGAATGCGCGCTACGCTGAAGCGAGAACCGCATTTTGCTAAAGAACCGCCCTCAATCCGTGAAAATTGTTCCAAATATTTCAAGCGAATGCTCGCGGCGCTAAGGCGAGAGCCTCAAGTGAAAACGACCTACCCTCAGTCCGTGAAACTCCTGCAAACTTCGAAAACGAATGTGTGCGACGCTAAGGCGAGACCCACATTTTGAAAACGGCCCGCCCTCAATCCGTGAAACTCTTGCAAATGTTTCGAAACGAACGCGCGCGGCGCTAAGGCGAGAGCTACTTTTTGAAAACGACCCGCCCTCTGTGAAACTGTTGTCAGTTGTTGAGCATCAGGGTCATAAATAGTGAAGAAGTCTCAGGCGAAACACCTGGCCCGCCCTTTCGACTGGCCTCGGGGTGCGACAGGAAGGAGTCATGCATAAGGAAAAGGATTGGTGGAGGAGGAGGAGGAGAAGGAACACGCGGAGGAGAGTGGGAGAGGAGGAGAGTAGGAGAACGGGAGAGTGCGAGAAGAGGAGATTGGGAGAGTGGGAAAGCAGGAGAGGAGGAGGCGTCGTCGGAATTGACATTGCAGCAGTCTGCGCGTGGTAAGGCTGAGGGCTCTCACCCCGGGAGCCTGTTTCGACCGCCACCCTCCCGAGCGAAGGGAGGCCCAGGCCTGAGCCCCAGGCGGACAAACGCACTGAGACGAGAGGGCGGCCAACAGAGCGCTGCGCTAGAAACGACCGTGCGCAAAGCAATGGAAATACGCAGTCGGCCCGGGGAGGATGCGATGCGGCCCGCAACTCGCGTGGCTACTGAAACCGAAGCCAGGACGAGGATAACGAGGACTGAGATCCGGCGGTTCTCGCCTCTTCCACTTCCCGACGCTCCAAGACGACCCAAGAGGCCCCCAGATCGCATCAAGACGGCCCAGAGTCCCCCAAGAGGTTCCCAACATGGCCCAAGAGGGTCCCAAGACGACCCGAGACGCCTCCAAAACAGGCCAAGAGGCACCCAAGACGGCTCCCAGAGGGTGCCCCGACAGGGTACCCAAGCGGACATCTCGAGCCCTCGCCCCCGAGGAGCTCTCAGGAGGCCCCAAAAGGCCTCCAAGACGCACCGAGGAAGCCACCCGAAGCCCCTGGAGGCCCCCCGAGAGGCTCCCAAGAGGCCCCCAGGCGTCTCCCAAAACGCCCTCGAACTG